GAGAGGCCCTGCGCCACGCGTTGCACGGCAGGACGCCGTTGCCCTCGAGCTCGCACGTCAGGCCCACAGGCATTGCAACATTTCGAATCCTAAACAGGAGCTTGATCTCGAGAGAACACCACGGCAGTTTGACCCGGGGGAGACTCAGTGACAACCCACCTACGCCCCTGAAAGCTGACAATGGTAGCGGGCCTCTCCCAAGACCACGCAGCCCCTGCCCAACCAGGGGGGCGCGCCCGACTTGGGCCGACGGAACCTACACGCGCCCGAGCGAGCCGTAAAAGTGAGCGCAAGCAGAATGAAACGCATTGCTCAGAACACCAAAGAGAATAGCACCTTGATGCCGATGGCCTCCATGGCGCCCTGGCTAAAATGAAATACACGCCACCGTTCCAAGGCGCGCCCCCCGAGGGGGCCTCACGCGAGACAGAGGATCATCAACCCAATAAGACACGACCCGCATCATATCCACATTGCCACCCCCCCTGGATCCCAGCAGCTCCCCCAGCAGCCCACCTGCGCCCTCGAACTCCATCTGGCGCGACCCCGTTGGATCTCCGCGCCGCGAGACGCAGCGGGCAACAACCCCGCGCTGAAAACCCTGAACTTGAAACGCTGGGGAACACTCAGAGACTCAAGTTTGACAACCAGCGCCTGATAATACGACGCGTACTACGAAACACTCGAGCAAAAGGTTGCTGCTGATGTCGCCCAGGAAAAATGCACCCATGTTGCAAGGGCCCCGCTCGGCCGCGCCTGCCAGATCCAGAAGACCCCCCTGGCGAGGCTCGGCAACTTGCTGCCACTGACAACTGCATGCTACTTCTTGATAACTAGAGGCACTGCAATGGATCATTGACCTGACGCTGCAAGCACCTCGAGCTGCCGAGGACACACTGCCATGGACTTACGCAGAGACGGATCACCCACAACTCCGGGACGCGCCCTCGACGTGGGCACCAGCCAAAACAGTGGGCAACATTCCTCCACCTTCTCCTCCGCCTCCTCCTCCTACTACTATTTCTACGATCCCATCCGCGCCGACTTTTCTTAAATCCGCACTCGTGAGGGCGCCGGGCAGCTCTGCGCCACTCGAGTTCGGCAATCTAGAAAGGATTCAGCCTCCGGGAGAGCCCCGCACAGGGCCGCGAACGAGGGCGGAACGCCGCCAGGGAAGGCCGAAGGATGGCGGCACAGGTGACCTGCCCCACCCCACCCCAGCAGAGGGGAAGGCCCACGGCTCGAAGATGAGCCCCACTTACACCGCCCAGCCCCCCGCCCGCTGACGGCCCGCGCGGGCCACGGCGCCGACGCGCCCGAGCATCTCTTGCCCGGCAACTGCCGCGGCACCTCGCCCCCCCGGGGCGCGCCCGACCTTAGTGGCGCCGCCGCGGGCGCGGAGCAGAATCGCCATCACGCGCATCAGCTCCATCCGAATGTGTTCCCGGGTCGGCATGAGCATCTCTAGCGGGGCCCGCTGGGGGGTCGACTCGTGGCTCGAATCGGTCGCCGCGCCCCCGGACGCGGCACTCTGGACCTTGTTCGAGGCCTCCGCGGTCTTGCCGTCGCTGGCCACCATCACGCCGCCGCGCGGCAACATCGTGAGCCGCGCCTGCTGCTGCCGAACATGGGGCTGAATACCGACTCGCTCGCGCCCTCGCTGCGCCGTGCCCGAGCGCGCCGGCGAACCTCTTCGGCAATCCTTTGAATCGATGGAGATGATGGGGCCCTTCCGTTTTCGACCAACTCTCGACATCGATCAGAGACTTCGAAAAACAGCTGCAATTCTGGCGCCCCTCGCGCGTGCTTGGGCCCTTCTTCCTTCGCCACCTCGAGGCGCGCACGGCACTCCTCTCTGCGCGCCTTCACCAGGGGATTCTTTGCCGAGGGGCGCAACTGCGTCGCCGGGCCGCGCCCCAGCGCGGGGGCGCCCGGCGTCGAGCTGCACCGCCAATTTCTTGCAGATGGCCCCATCACTGTCCTGACGCTTCGGCTCCTTCGCCTTCGGCCGCCCGCCCTCCGCGGCCGGCGCCGCCCCCGATAATCTGCAACACATCGAGCTCGAACTGATGGCGGCCGACATGCGCGGCAAAGTGGACGTCTAGAAGGCGCTGCCACAACACATGAAGGACACCAGCTGCAACCTCACATAGTGCACACGGTGCGGCAAAAAGACGAACTTCAACACTCGACCGACCTCGACCAACACGAATGCCCCTCTCAAACGCTCTATGCATAAATTGCTGCGCCTGTGAATACGATGGGTACGCCTTTCCACGCGATGCACATTGATTGCTCACGCAATAGATCCGTGACACACTTGCTTGACATACGCCCCTCATTTGACGCGAACATAGAGCAATGCCAGACGAACTTTATCGGTAAATCGAGCCTGGCACGGTTGACCCTGGTCGTCATCCGCCCAACACGGACGCCCTCCTCCCTTCACCTTTTCGCGCCGCTCGGGTTCGAACCTAGCTCGACGGTGAACATGGTACGCCCGGAGACCCAGCAAGTCGAGACTCATGGCCCCCCCCCTCCATGACGGCCCTGACAGGCTGACGAGCGTAATTTCCCAGGAAGGCATCCCCATCGTCACGCACCTCGAGCGCGAGCACGTCCTAAAGCCACTGGTGGGCCTGCGGGTTGCTTACTTGCCAATCAGTATCATCCACTGATCCTTGCGTTTTGCCCTGTCTGCGCCCAAAAACTGCGCCAAGAACTTGTCCAGCCACGGCCATCACCTGCAAAATCCGCAGAGCGATCTGACTTCCCCATCCTCTCGTACAGTCGCCATTCCCCAATGACCACCCAGGCACGTTTCATGACAAATCCTTCCAGTCCCCCGAAATCATGAACTCACATGAGCCCATCGTGCTTCACGAACGCTTCGCGTCCCGTTAAAATGGCATTCAGCACATGGCCCTTGCACACGAAATCTTCCACTTCATGGAAGCATTTGACGTCCAAAAATTGTCCGTCCCTTCCCACGCAGCCTTACCTGCTAAAATGATACAGCTAATCTCCACACTGATCGAGAATCGAACTGTGAATCTCACTCCCCAACACCGCGCAGCAGCGGAAGCCTATGCTTCCAGAATACAGCGCCACACGATCGCACGCTCCAATCGACAAGTTCCCTGGCCACAACAATGCGGTATGGTCTCCTGCTTGGTCACATTCTGGCCGAATCCCACTGCTTCAAGCAAATTCGTGACAGCCTTGTTCTGGTTCCCGCAATTGGTGATCGCCTCCTGCTTGCCACTGAACCTGAACATGCCGCCGACGTCGTCAACGAATATTGTCAGCGCTGCCTGCCCCTTCGCGCCAATCCATGCAGAAGAAACCTCAACAAGCGTGTGTTCCTTCAGGGCGTAGTCTTCAAGCCCTCGAGCATTCGCCATAACGAAGAAGAACACCATGACGGGATTTCCTGGCATACACCCTTCACCCATCCTTAGCAATGTAATTGCGGAACCGTCGAACACAAAATGAGCCCAACGTGTCCTTGATAAGATCATCGCCACGTGCTTTTAGCCAGGACGTGCAACAATAATCTGATTAGGACAGGCCCTCCATCTGGTTGAGGCAGGTACGAAGAAGAGCGTCAAAGTTAATGTAGGGCGGCCGACGCCCTGGTCAACATTTGTGCCATTGATGCTCCAACACTCTACGGATCAAGGCAACTAGCCTTGGGATCGTTTCTGGATGGGCAGGTGGGAACGCGCGAACCGGCAACACCTGAGGCGCTTGATGAATACGCATGCGCCCTCGATTGTCTCCGCGGCTGCCAGTGACAGGCTCTGAACGAAAACCAACAACAACAATCAGTTTAAGACTGCTCGCATGTACCTCCTCGTGTGCCATTCAACACGTATTTCTCAAACCCTCGATATCCGCCCTCTTCGTTTTTGATCGTGCCCCCCTGGGGGTAGATCTTCCTTACCTGCAGCGTGTAACTGGTGCAGCCCCTGAAACGGGGGAAGAAGGGACGGTTTGAAGGGGGATGGAGAGGGATGGAGCACGGGATTAGCAGGAGGGAGGCTAGGAGAAGAATTCACGTGGCAGAACCAGACGGGCTGATCGGCGGGTAGACCCTAACGTGCGAGTCGGGAAGACGGGCCCAAGCGGCCAGGTCGAGCAGGCGGGTTGCCGAAGCGTGAGTACTGCGTGAATCGCGAGGAAGTCTCGAGCGATAGCGCGAGTCCCAAGCGAATCGCGAGAAAAACCAGGGCGAGAGCGGATTTCTGAACGTCGAGGGCGCTGCGTTTGAAGAAATTGCGAGGAAGTCTCATGTGAGAGCGCGATGTCTCAATAAATAATGAGGAAAATATCAGGCGGGAACCGCTATTGTTGAAAGCCGGAGGCAAGGGGCACAGTTTGGTCACCCAACACTTCTTGTAAAAAAATCGAGTGCGAGCCCCAGGAGGTGCACTTGAATTGAAAAAACAATGGTCACCTGGCATAAGGGGATTCACATTAATTGTTCTTGAGAAATGAGAACTCAATAAATTGTTTTGCGACGATACGCATGGCAACACGTGATCGACCCCTTATTGCCGAAGGAATGATCATTTTCCTGCAACGGCGTAACTAGAACGCCAATTGGTGCGCAGCATGTGAACTTTCCAGAAGTGGCATCGACGAGTGAGTTCCATTCAACTGTGGTTCGATAGGACAGGCGGCACCACATAAATGACCCATGCAAATTCAGATGATCCACACAATACGACAACACGAACAACGCATGAATATGAAACAACGCTGCCATTACGGCACAGGCTGAGCTTTCCCGTCACTTCAATGCTGCGGAATTGCCGGCAGTTTGTTTGGCCGAAGCAACGAATCGAGCCATGCATTCCAAACATCCGTGTACAACTCAGCATTGAAGGGAGGGCTCGGGATGCACTTGACGTTTTCTAGAAGACGGGCAAGAAAACAAAGATGCTCCCATACCCTGCCCCCCTTCCCACCCGTGCCCTTCCCCCCTCCTTGCCTGCCTCCCTGGGTCCTCCAACAGCAGCCGTCTCGACTGGTTGGTCTGGTCCTCGGAGGCGATATCGGTCTCTCCTGCGGAGGTACACAGGGAGTCAGCCAATCGATGGTCGATGGGGCAGCAAGGCAGACAGGAGGGCGGGAAGGGCAGCGCATCACTTTTTCAGGGTGTGGGCCGGGTCTCGTCCTCGGGAGGACCAGTGTGGCCTGATTGTGTTTCTGGCAGGCTGGGGTCAGGAGGCAACTCCTGGGAGGTCTTCGTCAGAACGATCAAAAAGCTTCAAGGCTAGATTCAGGGACCATTAGGCCGAGTTGGGCCAGATTCAAGCGGGGACCACGCTTGATTTCGCAGGAGTGAGCCAAATGGAGCGGAATCTTACCGGATCAAGTGGGGGTAAGCCGGGTTAATCGGGATGTAAGCCAGAGTAAGCCGTTTCTCGAGCAGACTGAGCCAAAATAGGCCAGCGCCGATTCAGCATTTCACCTCCCAGGGGTTGCATCCTAGCTAGGATAGGCCAAGTCTTAGGTTTGGTGGAGAGCCTGGTCCAAACCGTCTCGGAACCGAAAGCCGATCCCGAAAAAGTGGCTGGACCAAGGGAAGAGAGCCTGAGCCCCAGCGTCGCTGTGGGTTCTCCTGGGGGGTCTCTGGCCGAGGTGAAGCAAGCGTACTACGGATTTCATCATGAGAGCGGAGGGTCTGACTTGGGAACTGTGAGCTGCCCGGTAGGGCTCAGGAGGGTCTGGGCAACAGGCCGCCCTTTTATGGCTAGCCCAGGGGGAGATATACACTCGCCCGTGTGGGAAAGTTGTGACCCCTCACTTATACTATGAAATGTGGGACACTCTCTGCTTTGCGAGATGGCCGTCGGAGGCGCTAGACACGCCGAACAGAGGCCTGCGCGACGGGCCCGAAGACCGTGCCCGACGGCGTGCCGGCCAGTGCGGCAGTTCCGTCGGTCCGACAGGCAATCCTGCGACGTCGAGCCTCGCTCTCCTTAGAACGCTGCGCCGTGCCCCGCTGGCGCCTTCTCCTGCAGCCAGGTCTTCCTCCATGCACCCCCCGCTCCTCCCACGCATTCTCGGCCCTTCCTAGCCGCCCCGCCTTACCCCCCTCCTCCTGCTCCTCCTCCTCCTCCTCCTCCTCCTCCTCCTCCTCCTCCTGCTCCTGCTCCTCCTCCTCCTCCTCCTCCTCCTCTTCCTCCTTCTCCTCCTCCTCCTCCTCCTCATCATCAGCATCATCATCATCAGCAGCATCAGCATCAGCATCAGCATCAGCATCAGCATCAGCATCAGCATCATCATCATCATCATCATCATCATCATCATCATCATCATCATCATCATCATCATCATCATCATCATCATCATCATCATCATCAGCATCAGCATCAGCATCAGCATCAGCATCAGCATCAGCATCATCATCATCAATCATCATCATCATCATCATCATCATCATCATCATCATCATCATCATCATCATCATCATCATCCTCATCCTCATCCTCATCCTCATCCTCATCCTCATCCTCATCCTCATCATCCTCCTCCTCCTCCTCCTCCTCCTCCTCCTCCTCCTCCTCCCCATCCTCCTACAATGCGACGTCTCGAGCATTCTGGCACGAGCGGGGGCAGGCGGGGGCTTGCCGGGGTGTCCCTTTCACTCACATGCCCCCTCACATGCTGTGCGCGCCCACTCTGCCAGGCCTCGCGCCGTCACGTGGTGCCTGGGGTCCAACACGCCTCCCTCGCCCAGTGCGTAGGCGCTCGCGTGGACGAAAGCGAGGAATTTCCGGCAGTATTTCTGACATGGAAGGTCTCGGTCCCAGGTCGTGGCCCGCTTGCAACAGCTGCAACACACACCAGCGGAACAACACGTTGGTGAAGGAAGGCGGAGAAGTGTCGGCGCGGCGGCCGACCCGTCGCCCTCCACAAGCCGAAGGTGAAGGACCAGCAGTTGCAAGTGGAGGACACGCACCTTCTCTCTGCAGGTGGCAAGAGCGGCAAGAAAAGCGGCAAGGGCGGGAGCAACACCGAGGTGGACGCCACCACGCGCCGCTCGACCAGACGATCGCCATGACCACCGATGCGTCCATCAAGCACGTGCTCATAGCACATCGTGCTTTGCTGGCCACCCTGCAATCGTCCGCGCTGGCGCCCGCCCCTGTCCGGCCATCTCAGGCCGCTCGGAAGGCAGGAGGGAGCCTGGCGCGACGCGGACGCCAAGCACGCACGAGCCGTGCAGCATGTCGCACGCCGCCGAGAGAACCTCTTCAGGGCCGAGGCCAGGGAGGAGGAGACGGCCCAGGCCGTGGCGCAGGCGGCACTGGCGAGACAGACCGCCGTGAAGGCGCTCTGGCGCAGGCGCCGGGCCCGCACGTCGACGGCTCCCTGTCCTGGGCCAAGGAGGCTGTGCTCGACGTGACCCGGGGCACGTGCTTCTTCGAGCCCCTCGAGGCCGTGGAGAGGTCGAGGCGTCGGAGGGAGGCGCGGGCTCGCGCCAGAGGAGGCGAAGGAGACGCTGTCGGCGCCGCTCGGAGGAGGCGCAGGCAAGGCTCGCCCGCATGCAGGTCATTCGGGCGAAGAGAACTACAGGGCAGTTGTTACTACATAGGATGTTAAACAACATCGGTGCTTCATACATGATTCATTTAGGAATAAATGTATGCATGAACTCATCGTTGTTTTTAGTACTAAATCCCTGCATTATTTAATACATGTTCCGCACGCGGAGCATGTATTAAAAACGGCACTGTATGCACATGCACCGATCCTGACAACGCCCATCCTTGACCCAGGATCGGTGCATATACCTCCCTGGCCAAGGAAAGAGGACGTATGCACCGATCCTGGGCTCAGGATGGTCCT